AGACAAAACCCGAACTCCTCGGCCCCGCCAAGCCCTGGGAGATCTGGCCCCTGCACACTTCCAGCCTCCCCTCCTCCAGTCCTGCCCTGCGGTACAATCAGCCTGCATGGTCATTCCTTCAGTGGGTGCTGACCTCTCCAGCCTGGCACGTGCTGTGCCCTCTACCTGGGACACTCACCCTGCACATCATCTTGTCTCTTAGCTAATTCCTACTCCCTTAGGGCTCATCCTTGATATCACTTCTTCCAAGGACCCCCAGGCCTGGGTCAGTGTTTCAAAATATGGGTTTTATTAATATTCAGGTATGATGAAGCCAACAGATCAGGAGACAATTGCCATTAAAAAGATATTTTGTTACAGTTCCCAAGAGGAGGGGGCAGGCCATACCACACAGGGCCACAGGGGCATGCACCAGTGTCGGGCAGGAGGCAGAGGGAGCCTTTATTGTGGTTTCTGCAGGAAGGAACAGGTGAGGCAGGGTGAGCAGGCTTAGGGTTGGCTAGTTGGAATCGTTTCAGCAGGTTCTGGGGCATAGGAGCTCTAATTGTCTGGTACCTGGCTCTGGGGTGATTAGGGTAGGGGACGGTGGTCCTGAGCGTGAAAGCCCGGTAAAGGAGGTGGTTGGAATGTGGGCTGCAGATCAGTGGGTTTGCACATGGAAGTTTCCCTTGTAGACGAATCCTTTACTGTCTCTTGGAATTGGCTAGCCCTGAGAGGGACGCTGCCACTAGGGTCAGCAAAGTGCCAAGATGTCGAAGCATCAGAATAAAAAGACATGCTTAAATCCGTCGGTTGCCCCTCCTCTGAGTCCCCGCGGCTCGCTGAGCGTGACCCTTGACTCGTCCATCACCCCTGGACATCATGAGCCTCGAGGGCAGACTTTAAACCTCCAAAAGCAAGGTGCCCAGCACAAAAGATGATTTTTAAGGGCAGCTCACAAATGACTTTTTAAAAACAGTTATGTAGTTAATTTAATGTATATTAGAAATAAACCAGCTTACCAAATGTGTTAATTATCGATAAAATAAATTTACTTTAAAAAGACTGTAGGTAACAAAAAAATTGTAAGTAAAAAGGTAAGCCCATTCTTAAAGAAAAATGTTAAGTAAAATTCCCGGTGCTATGAGGATGTGAAACTGCAGAGGTGGCATCCGTCCTTCACCTTGACCCCATTTCATCCCCAACACCCAGCACAAACTTGACACTCAAACGTTGCTTAACCGAGTGAGGGAAGCAAGCCCCGGCTGGCGGTTGTCATCACGGCCTCCCAGCCCTGGCTGCACCAACCCAGAAGTCTTGGAATAATGGGATCAGCAGTGGGAGGAGCTGAGGAGTTGGTTTGTCTGAGATTGTTTTTACAGAGGAGAAAACCGAAGCCCAGAGTCAGAGAACTTTCCTGGGGTCACACAGCAAGTTAGTGGCAGTGTCCAGTGCTCCTTTCTTATCACTGAGACCACGCCCCTTGCCATATAGGACTCAGCTCAAGGGCAGGACCACCCTTTGCTTCTCCTTGGTGGAAGCCCTGCCTGTCTTCTGACTTGCGCACTGCCTCAGCCAGAGGCTGATCCACAGGCAGTGCCCACCCCCGCCAACCCCTCGCCCAGCAGTGGCCTAGACTCCGGTGCATGGCAGCCCCCACACCTTAGGAGCCAGCTGATCCTGATTTCAGTACCCACAGGGGCCTCCCACTGCACACACAGTGTCCTGAGCCCTGGTCTTTAGAGCCAGCACTCAGCCTCTGAGGCCTAGACACTCCACATTGCCAGGCCCCAGGGGCTCCGGGTCTGTGCTTTCCACCAAGGGAGGGTAAGGATGTGCCCAGGGTGATAGAGCCGCTCAGTGCCAGAACAAGAGTTGAAATTGGGTCTTTCAGTGAACCACACCGCCTCCCCTATGGGGGACTGGTGGGCGTCACTGAAATGGGCAGTCTAGGAAGCTAGTGAGCTCTTTGTCTACTGAGCTCTTCTCTTCAAGAAGAAGATGGACATCCACTGGAATCCCCCGTAACTGGCACAGGAGATTTGGGTACAAGGTGGTCCTAACTGAGAGCTGTGCTCAATGAGGTTTGGTGTCTGAGCCACCGAAGGCCTTTGTTCTTGGGATTTCTGACTTGTCTGGGCCCTGGGGCTGGGTTACTGCACATCCCAGCACACTGGGCACCTCCAGGAAGGGTTCTTGAGGGAAACGTGCTGGGGGCCATTGCCATTTATTTGTACTTGTTGTCTCTGACTTTGGCTCAGCTCCCAAGAGCTCTGTGGGGGGTGTTCATAGGGCTTTGGGTGGGCTGAAGGCCCTGGATCCCTGGGCTCAGACCCTGTAGGGAGTGATGGAGCCAGCCAAGGCCAGGGGTCCTGCTTAGGGACACTGGGGAGTGTGGCATCTTGGGGCTCTTCCCTAGAGTAGCCTCTAGAGAGCGCCCAAGGGCCTGCTCTCAGCTGTGCCCCAGAAGTGGTACCTGAGGGCATCCTGGGCTGGCAGTAATGACCACGACTCACACAGAAGCAGATACACACACACACACACACACACACACACACACACACAGTGCTCATCCATGTGCAAAGGCAGAGCAGTGGGTAGGGCCTGGTACATCCAATTATCCAAGTGGAGAGACACTTGTGGAGCACTTCCTGAGGGCTGAGTTTGGTTGGTGGGCTCTGGGGGGACGCAGGGATGGGTAAGCTGCCACAGGACACTCCACACTAACCAACTACTCTGCAAGGCAGACTGTGGGTGTCTGGAGAGGTAGAGTCGCAGATCTGAGGGTGAGGGGGGAGGGACTTCAGAGGTGCCTCCATTTATGGGATGTTTTATAGTTTCCAGAACACCATTACAGGTAGGCAGAGCAGCTCCCTTCCTGTTTTACTTTGTAGGGTACATGACTCAGGAGAGGCTGTGCATGGAGGCCCTCAAGGAAGCCCGTTGTCAGATCTTAGGAGCTGCGCTGACTCCAGGCTCCTGTGACTGTAGCTGGGATTTCTATGAGCCCGAGGGTGGAGGTCCAGGACTTCAATGGACCAAGTTTCCTGCATGAGACAGATGTGGCCCCCACCTCCCGCCTCCTAGTTCAGGACGTGGGCTTCATAGACCAAGTCGCTGAGGACACTGCAAGATGCCACCCTGGCCCCTGGAGTGAAGACACTTGGCCTTGTCCCCAGCTTTTAGTCAGCTCTTAGTTCCAAAGAGAGCAGATCAAAAATCATCCACCAACAAAATAAATCATCAGGCATAGCTTTTTTTTTTTTTTTTTTTGATGAGGAAGACTGGCCCTGGGCTAACATCTGTGCTCATCTTCCTCTACTTTATACGGGATGCTGCCACAGCATGGCTTGACAAGCGGTGTGTCAGTGCGCGCCCGGGATCCAAACGGGCCACCCCCGAGCCGAGCTGGGGGAGCAGAACTCGCGCACTTAACCGCTAGGCCACTGGGCCGGCCCCAGGCGTACCTTTTAATAATGTAAAACCCTGCAGTTTTTATTTGAATATTTTTGTCAAAACATTTCTGGACACTAAAACTAGAAATAGGGGACCCCAGAATGCCAAAGCTGGGACGGATCTGGGAACCTTCTACGCCGATATTATTTTACGGATGAGGTCTGAGGCTTGGGGGGTTGATTCTCACTGAGGCCCTTTTAGAGAATCTTCTGGGTTACCCCAGATGCTATTAGGACACATGGCACTGGGCGGAAACAGGAATGACACCACGCCCCTAAGGAGGGAGCCGCGGAGGAAGTACGTGGCACCCGGGTCGGCCATTCCTCTTGCAGCCCCTCAGTGAGAGCCTCCCCCATAGCCCCCAGCTCCTGAAACTCACCTGGAACAGGAAGTGCTCGGAACCTTCCCTGATGTTGCCATGGCGCCCACAACCACCCAAGGAAACCAAAGGGGAGCTCCCCTGCCAAGGCACCTTGGCAAGTAAGAAGAAAAGGGTGAACCCTGAATGTCATGAGCGCTCTCAGGATTCAGCCTCAGGAGATAAACAGCCCCCAGCGATCCTGTAATTCAGAGACCAACGCAATGGGAGTGCCTCCATTCCAGAAGCTTCCCCTGTAAACGCACCCGTGCTGAGCGAGGGGGCTTCAGAGCAGTAAGTGTGGCTGGTCCTTTTCATCCACTTGAGGGTCAAAGAAGGCATCCTGAGTGACCAGCCCTGCTTGGACATGGTAGGGAGGGGCTTCAGGGGTTACAGGCTTGGGGGCAGGAGGGGTCTGGGAGCCGAGGGACCGTCCCAAGTAACAAATCATATGGTCAGCCACTTAGAGCCCTCCTTTGGTTCCCATCCCTTGGTAAGGGGTGAAGAATTGTGGGTTAGCTCCTCTTTTGCTTTATCTGAGCCACTTTTCCAGCACAATAGCAGAGAATTGTCAGTCCACTAATGTGCTTTAAAAAAATTAGCTATTCTCTTGATTTGATAAATAACCTACACTCGAGGCTTACTCATTCTTACTTTTGTGGCAAACTTTAGATTCTTTAGGCCAATCTCCTCCATAATATTTTGAAGAGACCTTTTGGAAATTTTTTGAAAATTTAATCTTTACCTCTTTTGTCTTCCAGGTGCTTCTTCCCCCATCTCCCCGTCCGGTGTAATCGCCACTGTCATTCATGAAAATGCTGCATCCGGTAAGTAGGTCAGCTTCACCAGGGGGCAGGCGGTGGTGGAGCAGAAGTGCCTGGTTGCGGAGGTATCACCGGGTTTCCGCAAGGGGTGGGTCTTGCACTGCTGCGGACTCCAGCTTTATTGCTGAGTCTGCTGGGAAGAGCATGTTCAGAGTCTTGCTGTCTGAGCCAACCATTGTTCTCGTCTCACACTGCAGCACGACCGCGTCTAGATTCAGCTTCCAGTTTTCAATCACCCACCGTTTTCCAGGCACTATACTAAAACATAGTTCCCAAACTTTATTTTATTTTATAATTTTAACATCGCCACCATCACCATCACCATCATCATCCTCATCCTTATCCTCATTGTCATCGTTCCCATTTTACCTATGAGAACCAAGATGCTCAAAATGTCAAATGACTCACCCAAGGTCACACATCTAGTTTGTGGCAATAACAAGATTTGAACTCTGATCCTCCATTCCATGGCCCCCATCTCCCCACCACCCTGCTGGTCTTGGCGTGGCTTAGGATCAAAGGCACTCATTCCTATGGGTCCCTCATAGTGCCTTTTTCCTGGCCAGGTTTCCTTAAGCCGTCACATTTGAGGTTTATATCCATGCTGGGTATTCTCCTGCTTCCTTAAGGAAATTGCTGGAGCCCTGGGGTCTCAAGAAAATGTCTAAGTCAGAGTCTCTGCCCAATGACCCGGCTATTCCTCTCCTGGGTTTATAGCCAAAAGAATTGAAAACAGGTGTTCAAACAGAAACTCGTACATGAATGTTCACAGCAGCTTAATTCACAGTAGCCAAAAGGTGGAAACAAACCAAGTGTCCATCAGCTGATGAATGGATAAACAAAATGTGGTGCCTCCATATGATGGAATATGATTCAGCCGTAAAAAGGAATGAAATTCTAATACATGCCACATAAAACGTTACGCTGAGTGAAAGACAGCAGACCTGAAAGCCCACATATTATATGATTCAATTTATATAAAATATCCAGAATAGGCAAATCCATAGAGGCGGAAAGCAGATTAACGGTTGCCAGGAGCTGGGAGAGGAGGAAATTGGGAGTGATGGTTTAATGGGTACAAGGTTTTCTTTTGGGATAATGAAAATGTTTTGAATTAGATAGTGCTGATGGTTCTACAACATTGTAAATGTACTAAATTGTACACTGAAATGGTAAATTTTATGTTTTGTATATTTTACCACAAAAGAAAAAAAAACAGTCGCTGGCCAAGGTCTCCTCAGTTTGGTCTCTCTCTGAATCACATGTTAGGATAAGCTCTTCAAGAACAGTTTCCTGAAGCATAATCCTACCTCGCTGTGGGTTCTTCAGAGCTACCTGCAAAGAAACAATCTTTCTCTCCAACCCTTCGCCTCCAAATACTTTGTAGTCTGAAATCCTCAGTCTACTGAATACAATATATTGGGAAGCTTTGAGAAGAATGCTCCTGAGAAACATTGGCCATGCTTGAAAATTAACCAGCATTTTAAAATATGTCTTGATTTTCTTTCTGCTATACAATTTGGGAAACCTGGCGTTTATGTGAGGTTAAAAAACAAACAAACACTTTCTCTCTTTCTTCATTTCCCCCGCAGAACAGAGCTCGGCTGGAACGCCGGATAGTTGGCTCAACCAACCGGTGGCGTCTCCCCAGAGAGCCTTTCTCTGGGGACCTGCTGGCACTCTCCCAGGAGTGCAAGGCTTTGAGCATAGACTTTGATGAGGCGCTGAAGAACCCACCCAGGTAGGGAGAGCACAGTCCCGTGGTCGGGAAAGGCCCCTTGGGGTGAACCACATTTCTGGGCAATGCCCTGTGATTGGGCCACTCTGGTTGGGCAGATGGGCTGTCACCAGGCACGTTTGTGAGGAAGGCTGCATTTGGGACCATCCCCTAGGGATGCACGGGGTCAATGTGTCTACTTCCTCTGAGAATGTCTGTGGGGGGTGATAAACGTGCAGAGATAGATTGACAGGGATTTTTTTCTAGATTTTCCTTTGCAGTGGGAATTTTGGATGCTAACAGGATTCTGTTATAAGTTTATCAACTGATTTGTTAACAAACAAAACTTAGCTAGTCCTGGCTTAGAGTCTGAACCCTTCTTATGAATGCCCATTTCCACCCAGTCGATTGGCTTCCTAGTTATGAGAAGCTGGCTCCCCCCTCCCTCCCAGAGTATTCTGAGCAGCAGACTTAGAGCATCACTTCTTCATGTTATGAGTCATTTCTTGCCTCTCCTGAGGACACAGAGATGGACCCTATTGCAGAAGGAACACCTCACTGCCCTGGTGCTTTGCACCTGGCTGATACCACTGCCCTCCCTGGGCCGGCAGCATCTGTCTTGTGAGCGCACAGTCAAGTCTTCCTGAGCACGGGCTGTACCCCTGGGCAGCCCCCAGCACAGAGCTCCTTGCTCCCTGTTTGCTGAGCGAGTAGCCCAATCTTCCCTTTCTAGACCCCATGGCCAGCCCTGCTCCATTGCCCCCCTCCACCTCACAGGTGACTATATTATGCACATTTGAATAAACCAAAACCCATCTGGATTTGGTGTCTAAATCCTCTGATAGCTCCAGCTTAGAAAAATTGAGTGTTGTGCGTTGCTACTTTTGGCATTGGCTATTCATACCCTTAAACAATCTTGAATTTATTTTATATTTTGTTTGGTTAGAGCCCTGAGAAAGTCTTAGAGTTTTTGCCAAAGCTTGTTGTGTTCCTTAGTGCCAGGGCCAGGCCGGGCAAGAGGTGTGGGAGCTGGGCCTGGGGATACAGGCAAACTCATACACAAAACTGATACGGGAGGCTGGGCAGCAGGGGCAGAGGTCTCCAGGAGTTGGTTTGTGGAATCTCCGAGTTAAGCTGGGAGTGGTAGCCTGAGGGTGGAGCACAGAAGCCTGAGGACAATGGCAGTTGGTGCCAGGCTTTAGGACTATTAAAAGGAGTCTATCGGACAGCGTCGGAATTCCTTCTCCATTTACTAGCTCTGTGAACTTTAACCAGTGGCTTAACCTCTCTGAGCCTCAGTTTCCTCATCTGTGAAATGGAAATAATAACACCTCCCTTGAAGAGTTATCTTGAGGATTAAATTAGACAATACAGTGAAAATGCTTAGCACTGTTTCTAGCAAATAGGAGATGCCGAATATACGGAGCAATTATCTTTATAGCCTGAGCAGCACTTTTAGTTATTGATCCTGGTGATCTCATTTTGGGGTGTGTCAGCCCTGTGCTCTGCCAGCCACCAACCCCATATTTCACTCTGCCTCTTAGCACCTTCTCCAAATCAAAGCACCTTGCCTCCAACACAACACATCTCCCTCTCTCCCTGGTGACGCGGGAACCTGTGGTCCAGAGGCAGGCTGGGGCAAGTAGGCACTCTGGCAGGCTGATCACTCGTGTATCTGGTAGTCAGCTGATCCATGCTCAGCTCGGCTGGGCAGTTTGGCTCTGCTCCACGAGCCTCTCATCCCCTTCCTGAGACCGTGGGCTAACCTGAGCCTGTTTTTATCATGGCGACGGCAGAGGGCAAGAGGGCAAGCCCAGTTGCACAAGTGTTTTTCAAACTTTGAGGCACATCACATCCACTAACATCCCGTTAGCCAAACTCAAAGTCAATGGCAGGAAATCAAATTGGAGTTTTGCAAATATGAAGCCAAAAGCCCTTTGGATGGTTTGCTGCAGGACGTCCATATGTCTGTAAGAAACTTATGGAATTTCTCCCTTTCCCCTCTTGTTTCTCCATCATAGGTCAAGGCGGGGGGGGGAGCGAGCCCCAGCCTAAGAGCATGTTCCCAACTTCCCCACATGCCAGTTCATCACAGGCCATTTAGTCCCAAACAGTAAAGAGGACAACTCACAGGTGCCGTTTATTCCATTAACTTTTCCTAAAATGGTCCTAAAATGAACCCAGCCTTGGAATGTACAGAGCCTGCATGATGAATGGTATATCTTGGCAAGCAGCCATGACACCAGGAGAAAACAATGTGGTTACTTCTGTTGTCTGGCCTCTCCTGGCTCAGCCAATGGCAGTGATGTTTGCAGGCTAGTTGAGCTCGTGGGCATAGCCCCATAGTTTCCAAAGCCCGTTGCTCCATTTTGACATCATGGTCTGAACTCTTGACCTTGGCCAGCAATTCCCGGACGTGTGACCCAAACCGCCAGGGGGATTGAGGCTGGCTTGGGTCAGGTCCACTGCTCCTGTTGGATAAACAACTCAGACTCTCACTGCCTTCCTGAGGCTGAGTCACCTGTAGCCACCCTGTCCACTTGGAAAGGGCAGCATGTGGTCGATATTATTCCGGACACAGGTACCCCCCACCCAAGCCCTCCTCCATGCACCCTGGCCCCCGAGGGCTCCTGGGGTCATTGGAAAACAGCATGGCAAAGGTGACAGTAACTAGATGTGGTCATCAAGTGTCCCTTGGCTGGTTGGCTTTCTTGGGATGACTGTCTTCAAGCTGTGAATGTGTGACTCAAACTTTGTTTCATTTCCTTGCTCAGTGGGATGAATATAGTGTTTATGGAAAAGCATCTTATCTTTGTCATCATTTGATCATTGAACGGATGTTTATCGAGCACTTGCATGATGGCTGTGCTAGGGTTATGGCAGTAAATAATCTGTCTTTGTGGAATGCAGAGCCTAGTGCAGAGGATGCATGAGTAAATGTCGACCACAAGACACTATGGAAGGAGTTCTCATGAGGGTAATCCCAGGGCGGCAGTGGGGAGGGCTGCTCATCCAGCCTCCCCAGAGAATGCAACAACCAAGCTTATCTGGAAGGATGAGTAGGAGCCCATCAAGTGGAAAGGCAGGGAGGAGAGCACTACTGGGCAGAGAGAGCTGTGGGTCCAAGAGAATGGAAGCAAGAGATGGTGGGTCCAGGCTGTTGAGAAGGGCTGGAGCAGGGAGTGTAGAAGGATGAGAAGCAGAGAGAAGCATGAGCTTGTTAGCCATGCTGAGGAGTTTGGGCTTTTCCCCAAGAGCGCTGGGGAGACACTGAAGGATTCTCAGCAGGAGAGAGGCAAAACCAGATTTGCATTTCGTTGGTCCCTCGGGCTGCAGTCCAGAGTGTGCATCAGAAGGGAGCACACTGGAGGCTGGAGACTGGCAGTGACTAGGGGGAGATAATGGTGGCTTGGATGGAGATCATAGCAATAAGGGCAAAGGAAGATGGATGAATTCAAAAGATATTCTGTCAGATCTGGGCAAGTGATCAGATGTGACAACACTCAGTATGCTGGCCTGGGCAACTGGAGGTGCCATTTCCTGGTGGAGCGGCAGTGTTGGGTTCGGGGTAGATTCTGAGTTTAGTTTTCGGGCATAAGACTGGGGCATGCATGACCCCTAAACAGAGGTATTGATGGGTTAACTTCCCAGGAACGCCCAGAACCCTCTCTTCCTTCTCCAGCAGATATTTATTGAGTACCTGCTACATGCTAGATGTTGTTTTAGACACTCACCAAAAGAGAGATCGTTCAGGCAGCCAGATGTAGCTTCAACTGCCTGCTCAATAAGGCCCACCCACAACCCGAAAACAGGAATTACTGCTTTGAGCCTCCGTCTGAGCTCAGTTTATCAAATCAGCAGACAAAGGTGACCTGAGGAAACTCTCCCAGTGGGTGAGACACCATAAGGTTGATTAATGTACAGGTACACTGCACTGGAATGATACATGTTGCAGTTGGAGAAAAATGTCATATTAACTCCTGGATTTTTTGTTTGTACTTTTCCTTGAGGTTATACATTTCACAACTTCAGAAAATTTTCTCTGAAAATGTGAAGAACAAGGCCATCCCAAGCAGGGAGGCAGGTGAGTTGTCAGAATGGTGCTGACCTCAGGGGTGTCTTGGGGTCTCTATGGAAGGAAGCCAGACCAAAGTCCAGGTCTAATGTAAAATAGGTCCCCGTAAATATTTGTCAAATGCACGATGAATGAAACCAAGCTGGGCAAACACATTTTCTTATGCTAACAGCCATGATGAAGATAGATGTGCTGGTGTAAATAAATAGGCTTTGGATTAGAAGTCTAAGCAGAAGCCCCATCAAGCATGGGGCAGCTGTTCTCCATCCCTTTGGGCTCTAACCAGCAATGACTTGGATGTCACATCTACACCTGTCCAAGAGGACTTCTCTGAGGTAGGATCAAGAGCCAGACTAAGTCTGTCCAACTGGGAAAAGGTTCATTGAGCCCCATGAGGAGCTTGGACAGGTCAGCTCCTTAATAGAGCTTTTTCTGGATAAACGCCGCCCCACGGTGTGACTGCCTGAGGTCAGAGCCAGCCTCTTCCAGCTAACTGATTTCTTCTCGCTGTCAACTCTGGTTAACTGGGGCCCTGAGAAGGAGTCTGAGGCCATCTCCTGGCCCGGGAAAATGATTTCTGGGATTGGTTGTGATGACTGCCGTGCATTTGCCATCTGAAAACAGAAGTGTATGTCAGTGAGGGGACACGCTTTATCCATAACTCTGCTCCTGCCTAAAATCACCCTAATGGGGTGGGGATTCTTTCTAACCTGGCACAACCAGACCGCCATCTGAGGCAATTCAAGATTTGAGATGCAGACCCAGGTTCTAAACCCCAGCACCAAACAATATCATAGAATTAGTGAGTAACAATAATAGTAACAAGATAGGAAGCAGGTGCCCAAGTTCACACAGTCAAAATAACGGCTGGCCAAGAAATAAGCAGATGTGGCTAGTGGCCTTCAAGGTCCTGTCTGGCGCTGAGATTCAGGGTTTTAGGGGATCGGCCGTGCACAGCCCCCTTCCCCCAGCTGTGTACTAACACAGAGTCCAGCCTGCAGAGCCCTCTCGCCCACAGCCTCTCATGCCTCCCCTGGCCTGGCATCCTCGGACCCTCCATCTGCCCTCCTGTCAGTCTCTTCTCTTTGTAATCACCTGTGCTATCCACGGGTGAGACTCCCCCGCATAAAGCCCTTTACAGTATTCACATTGTAATCTCACTTCATGCCTCGAGCTGGGCTTTCTGCGGATCCCCATTCCCTCGAGGAAAGAGGCTCACAAGGACTCTGCTCCCCGGTGACGGCTCTTTTACTGTATTGCATTTTGCTATTGCCTTTCAGGTGGGTAATAATTAGACACTAATTGCCCAGTAGTTTTCAACAGGAAACCAGTAGCGACTTTGCTCCCCTTGGGACAGTTGGCAACGTCTGGAGACGTTTTTGGTTGTCACAACTTAGGTGGGTGGGTGCTACTGGCATCCAGTGTGTAGAGGCCAGGGATGCTGCTAAGGACCCTACAATGCACAGGACAGCTCACAGCAGAGAATTATCTGGCCCAACATATCAGCAGTGCTAGGGTTGAGAAACCCTTAGTGGGGAAGGCAAGGTGAGGCCCCCGGGAGTGTCCCAGCCAGCGTCCCTGCCCCATGAAGCCTTCTCCAGTTCCCCAAGTTGAAGGCAGCCCACGTGCCTCTGAAGTCCTGCAGCTGTTGGTCAGTGGCTCTCTTGGATATTCATCACTTTCTATGTTACCTTGTAAGTCTGCCTATCGTATCCCGCTGGGAGCCAGTAAGCACCCTGAGGTCTCCACTGTCATCCTCAGCATTTTATTCCCGAAAGGCCTAGTGCACCGCCTACCCACTCATCTTCTCAATAATGGTGATTGAACAGAAGAGAAGGTGGGAGAAGGAGCTAATTCATCTTTGGGAAGGGCCGTTGTTGGATCATTTGCTCAGCATCTCTTTCTCTCCTCAGATGTGATTCTTGAATGCCTGGGCTTCAAATGGGAACTCCATCAGCCCCAGATCTTTCAATCCAAGACCCTGACCAAGCTGTACCTGGCGGCCCTGGCCCGGGACACCACCAGCCCCGTGAAGGAACTCGAGAAGCTTCTGCGAGGTACTTTCTCACTGGCACCCAGCGTGAGCACCAAACGCCACGTGGTTTGAGAGACCCCCTCTTGGCGACTGGTTATCTGTTTGGGGCACTCTGGCAGTTAAGGGCGAGGCCCATGGTGTGACCTCATGACGAGATATAACTTCAGTCTCCTCAGCTATAAATGGATACAACGGTTCTTACTGTGTTGTGTTGAAGACTAGAGGAGGTGTGGGTGTAAGTTCTAGAACAATGCCTGGCATGTCGTGAGCACTCAGAAGTGTCAGCTATTTTTCTCATAAAACCTAATCTTGTCCAGCCAGCTGAGACGGAGACTCTACCTACTCCTTGGGAAGAGAGAGTGGGTTGTATTGAGTCTTCTCAGGGGCTCTCTGGAAGGAGATACAGTTCTGCCGCGTGGGGCTTGTTTACCCTAAGTGTGCTGGGTAGAGGTTTACACGTGTACATCGATTTCATTTTTCCTTTCCTTTCCTTTCTCTTTTCTTAACTCCACCTCATTCCAAAAAGTATTTAGGTTGCTTCTTTCTTTTTCTCCTTTTTTAATCCTAATAATCTCCAGTCTCTCCTTGTCTGTCCCATAAGCTCCTCTCCAGCAGCCTTGCCAACGTCTTCTTTGGGTAACACACATTGGCATTGGCTCAGGACGACTCATAAGCAGGTGCCATGGAAAAATTCATGGTCTCCAAACCCAGCCAGCATGCCAGTCAAGCTAGGATTACATTTCCAGGATGTGGCACCAAAGCCTTGTTATTCTAGAACCAGACAGGCTGCCGGAGCCCCCAGTCGCTGCCCCACCCTGAGCCTGGAGAGAAGGCCCAGCTGCCAGCCGGAATCTTCCCGGCCATGAAGCCTCTGACTCAGCCCTTCCCGGCTGAGCTGGGAGCCGAGAGCAGCTGCGGCATTCCCACAGAACCGTTAACAGCCTTCGTGCTCACTCACGATCCTTGCTCTTCCTACGCGCTTGTCCAGTGTCATCAAGAGTAGGCCTGAGCTCTTCCTTCCTTGTCCCCCATGCCCAGGTCAGAGCTCTCACTAGGAACCAATGAAAGGCCATGGCGACCCAGACAATGAGACATTGAACAGCAAGAGAATCTGGAAAGGGAAGATGGAGTTATCATTAGTATTATGGTCTTTAATGTGTCTAGAATGGTCTCACTGAGAGGATTTGGCCCTGCTAAGACAGTGCTCTGATCCAAGCCCCTGCTAGAGGCTGGGCCTGACGGGGACATCGGGGTAGGTGCAGAAATGAAACCCCAGCACCCTGACTGTCACACTTTCCAGAATCTCCCCACAAGCACCACCAACTGCCCCAGGCCGTAGGACTTTTATCTCCACGATTTTCAGTGGGTACAGCCCTTCATGTGCCTTCAAAGCAGAACATGTCTCACAATGATAGTTTGTACACGCATGTCACGATTATTGCTCTTGTGTTCTTGAAAACACCTGTGTTGTGGTCCTGGTGTTAGCAGCAGAGAAAGTTCTGACCAAGCTCTGGAGTGGCGGGCTCTGCGGAGACGTAGCCCCCTGTTGGCCACACAAGCCTGTCCCAGCTGCTCATTGTCTCTCCACCAAGAGTCGAGGATCAGCTGTACTTTAGCAGGGCATGTTTATTCTCTAGGATGAAATCCAAGAAGGCACTCTGTTACTAAAAATGAACCACCTTGGGTTAAGAGCATCTCAGAGGTGCATGATCAAATCATGACTTTCCTATCTGATTCTGAGGTTTTACTTAAAGTGGAGGGAATGTTGAACTTCTGTCTTCCACTTACCCTAACTGAGCTGATAATATTCCCTCCTTCCTTCGACAAATGTCATTGAATGTTTACCTTATGCCAGGCATTGTGCTAGGAACTTAATGTCGGGGGTTGGGGGACAGACAAACCCAAAATGATGATAAAGCATCATAAATAGCATGATACATGATGATACTACCGACCACCTCCTGAGTGCCTACTGTGTGTCAGGCACCAACGTACATCATCTTATTTACTCCTCCCAGTGGGGGTGAACGATAGAACGGAGCGTGCGGATGGGAGGCTGTGTGGAAATCCAGGAGAGGAAAATGATGCAGAGCTGGGAACAAGGCCTGGCACTTAGTAGGTGCTCAATAAATATTTGCCGAATGAGGGCCTGAACAGAGCCGGTGCCGTGAGCACAGGGAGGGCAGGCCGACAGCCTCGCTTGCCTAAGGGTCTTTGCTGGCTCTTTTGTCTGCTGGTTTCGTAGTTGCAAAGTGTGACATAGTTTTTGGCTCCTGACTCATGTCATTTTTGGTCACCTGGAACCTTGAGCTCACTGGGCTTGGGATTCTGGTGATGGACTCTGTTCATTCCATCAATTCAGTTGATATTCACTGAGCACCAGCGTGTGCAAGACTCTGCGGGGTCCTGGGGATGGAGTGGTGAGGAAACCACACGACGCGCCTGCCCAGCAGATAATAAACCCACAGATCTGTGGTGGAACAGCAGCTGGTAGTAATAGCAGGTGGTTAGTCCAGGAGGAAAAATAAAGCCAGTTGGTGGGGGGAGGTGGGGGTGGGGTGCTACCTTACATATAGGGTCAGGCAGGCCCCTAATGGGAGAGGGAGGGAGCCCCCGAGATGCTCCTGGGGAACAAGCCTCAAGGAGGCAGCTTTGGGACCCAGTGAGCCTGAGACTAGGGGGAGCATCTTGGGGCCACTGGAGGGGCTGTGGCTTTGTGCCAAGGGTGCAGGATGCCACTGGAGACCTGAGAGCAGTGTGTGTTGTAATTCACATTTTAGAATAATTCCGAGTGGATGGGGGAGGCTGGCAGTGAATCAGGCTGCCCTCTCCCTTCCTTCTGGAAGCCTTCGGTGGCAAGGGGGGGGGCTCTGTCTGGAGATCTGTGGGGGTAGTTTCAAGAGCCACTGGGTGGATACCTCAGTCCCACATTCATCCCTCAGTAGGCGGTCACTGTGCTCCTCCCTCAGGCCATGTCTGAGCTGGGTGCTAGGGTGCAGAGATGACGGAGGCCCACCCCCTGCTCTCAAACTGCTCAGAGCCTGATGAGAGAGAGAGGGGGAGGGAGGAAGAAAGGGAAAGAGAGAGGGAGGAGGGGCCTTGTCATAAATATTTGAAATGCAGTGTGAGCATCGGTTTCAGGTTTTGACCATCACAGTGGCTGTGAGGTCATCGGGGGAAGCTGGCCGAGGGGCACACTGGAAATCTCTGTACTATTTTTGCAACTTCTTGTGAGTCTTCAATTATTTCAAAATAAATAATCATTTCAAAAATGCATCCATTAAACGAAAAAACAGACAAAATACAGTGTGGTATGTGCCAAGATCAAGGTTGTGCAAAGTGTGTGCAGCCTGACATGGTATCTTGCACAATTCACTATGGCTATCACATCCCTACATCCTTATCCCATTTCTTTTGCTAGCTCAGTTGCCTGGGAAGATCAAAGAAAGACCCCCAGTAAAGAAGATGATCATTTCCTTGAAGATCAATGACTCCCTGGTCACTAAAGTTGGTAATGTACCCCTGTCTTCATATTCTGAGATGCCATTGAACCAATAGTCCTCCCAGATTTTAAAAACAAACAAACAACCACAACAAAACACAACAAACAAATGGTAGACAATGTTCAGTGCTTCCTTATAGGGAATGCCTGCACAGTGTGAAGAGAGGTAGGGAGAGAGGCTGGGACAACTTGAGAAAATGAAGGAAAGTGTAATGTTGTTCAGGAGAGGTACTCGTCCTTGGGAGGGAGGTGTGAAGGATGCAGAGGAGGAAGGAAGTAGCAGGCTTCTCAGACAGACCTAGTGACAACATCCCTGCCCTTCCCACTGCCATTCTAGGAGCACACTGCCCAGGGGGGCTCTCAGACCCACCCTTGCCCCCAGGCAGTGCTCCACCGGCCCCTTCCCTCCTAGGCCCCTCGCTGGTGGGCTTCCAGCAGCAGAAGCCTCCCCCAGGAGGCTCCCTTGGGCTCACCTTCTCCCTACCCCATCCTGGCCACCTAGCAACAGACTTCTGTGTTCATGGGACATGCACGCTGTCACGTGCTGTCACGGGTCTATGAATCAATAGGTCCGAAATCATCCACTTAAGCACTGGTTGGACCACTTGTCCTCAGAGCCCACTGGACCACATGACAGCGCTGTTTGGGATCAGGTAGAACTTGGACTAAGCCAAGTCCATCTGTTCCCTAGTCATGGGAGCTGTGTTCCCAAACTATCAAATTATAGTTTGGCTCTTCCCAGGAGTCCTTAGCCCTTTTGAAGACTCCAGACTCCAAAGAAAATCTGCTGCAAGCTATATGTCGTCTCCAGAGAAAAACACGCACCTATGTGCCCACCTCATTCTGTGCATATTGGGCAGCCACCTCCCTGCACAGGTCATAGACTGCCGGTTAGGAGAGGATCCCTGAGGCACAGACTCTGAAGACAAGCTTACAGGACATCGTTCAGCAGGAGCTCAGTTTTCTTTAGCTTCATCCTCAACTCCTTTTGAGAAGCTGGGAGCCCAGGCAGTGTCTGCGCCCGGGTCAGAGTGGGTGCATTTTCTCTAACGGCATCTCTGGCCGCCCAGCTAGCGGACACTCGAGCATCCAGCAGGGAGGGCACCTGGGAGTGAGGGACGCGGGGGTGCAGAGCCCCTGCTGACAGCTCTCTCTTGGATGCTGCCTCACCAGCCTTTGCCACAGCCCTGAAGAACCTCTACTTGAGCGAGGCAAAGATGAACATGGACGACATGCTGGGTGTGCTGGCTTCCGCTCACATTCTCCAGTTCGACACCCTGATTCAAAGGTAAGGAATGGTGGTGGGCGTGGGCGAGGGCCAGCCCTGGGCAGGATCGGAAGGGGCCTCCTGGCGCATTTCATGGAATATTCCTCTTCCGTGAGCTAGGACATTTGGGGTTTCTTTGCACAGAGCTTTGAGTCGGCAAAGGCACCGAGACCCTAATTCACACTAATGCGTTATCAGCTCACAACTGAGCCACCTCTCCAGTGGCACGCTCATTTTAACCCATGATTCTTGACTCACAGGAGTGAAATGCAGATGGGGGATTTCTAGGGCTGGGAGATATTTGTAGGTGTGCAAAGTGACTTCCCAACAGTACTCAAACCATGCCTGCTTATGAATTTCACCTGTGATCATTCTTGTCTAAACAAGTCTCTCTCCATTTAGTGCCCACACACATACACTGGCCATTTGAAGGCAAGCTGACTTCCCATCACTCTCAGGCCTCCTTCCCACTTGTTTCCTACTTTGTTTTTTCTTGTAAAAAACATTTTTACTTTTACAGATGTTACACTCAGTCATTGTATATCTTTCAGAAGAGAGAAAAATGCAAAAATCAAACTCAGAATTGCCCGTCAATCCGACTGCCCATTTTGGGCACAGCCCTTCTCCTGGGTACTCAGACCTTGCAGCCCACCTGGCTGCCCATAAGGGGCGCCTGTGTATGGGGACTAGGAGGCATTGACGGGGGATTGGCATTGAATGTGAAAGCGTCCTCATCCCGACAAGGGTTACCTGCACTCACGGAGAGCTCGTGGATGCTGAGAGTGTGAGGGAGCGATAGAGGCATCTCATGTCTCTGCCTGCATCCAAGCAGCCAGTGAAATGCAGCCCAGGAGGGTTGAAATTCAGAGGCTCCCAGTTTTCATTAGACTTTTCCTGCAGAACCAAAAGCAACCTAGGATGTGAGCTGCAGGGTCTGTGCTCAGTCCTGCTGTAAGCTGCTCCTTAGTCTCCATGTGCCTCACTGGTCTCAGCTGTGAAATGGGGCTCATTACATCTATCCTGCCTACTTCACAGGACTTTGTTGGGAGTGGGGATGTTGGCACAAAGGGCTTTGAGATGGAGCATTTGCCATGGTCAGACACTGTCCTCAGCTCTTTGCAGGGATTACGTCACTTCAATCCTGCATCCCTAGGAGGAGGTATATTACTATGCTCACTTTACAGATGAGGAAACTGAGGCTTTGAGAGATAAGGAACTTGCCCAACGCCACCCAGCTTCCACATAGAGCAGCCAGGACTTGAAGGAGGTCAAGGGGCCCCAGAACCTGCACCCCTAACTCTGTCCTATTCTGCTTTGCTCAAGTGAGGTGGTGATGTCCCTTGCTCATTCTTGGTTCTGACCTCCCTGCTGCTCCTCCCTTCAGTGGCATTTGGTCAGACGGGGTTTCTTAGGGCCAGGCGTTCGTGAGTTTATTCAATCACACCTTCATTCATTCGTCTGTTCCTTCATGAATGATTTCTTGGGCTTCTCCAGGACACTAGGGAACAGTGAGGACCAGGTGGGCAGGGTCACTGACCGCTAAAGCTTCCTTCCCAAAAGTCTCCAAGACACAGGAAATGAGTAAAGTGGGGGTGGAGTGAAGGGTGAGGATTCCCAAATGGAAAATTTTGTGTTATGTATGATTAATTTCAAGTAAAACTGGTACCTGTGATTAGAAAGAGCATTTCTTAGAACTCTCCTCTTTTTGTATCCTGTAATATTCCTCCATTCCGTTAACGCTTATGAAAGAGTAAGTGACCCAGATGGAAAATCACTGATGGGATTAATTTTTCTAGAATATTCTGTCCCTTCCCTTGGGCTTTTTCAGGGACGTGTGCCTACTGTACTAACGTCCTGAACACAGAAGTAGTGTCTTCTGGCTCTTTGATTTCCTAATTCCTGATGCAATTCCATAGAGAGAGGAGATTTAGGGCACAGATGGTCTGCTTGGCTTGTGTCACTGCCCCAAGCCTCAGTTTCTTCATTAGAGGGAATGAGTGCATGAATGAACTTCCCATCCAGGCCGTGAGAGGACACCAGCTGTTCTGTAGAGGGCAGGGGCAGGATCTTTCCCAGGGATCTTACAGGTTTCAACTCACTTTTTGTGGAGTCCACTCAGCCAGATTCAGTCCCACAAATGTTTTTGAGCTAGTGCCTCACTCCTGGGGCAGACTCTCGATCTGAAGCATCTTGAAGCCTCATCAGGGAGGCAGACACCCAGTAAACGGGGGGATGCAGGCTCTCAGAGCCCTGGACATGACTGCAGAGGACACAGTGAGGGGGACCAGAGTCTTGCAAAGGTACTCTGGTGGGTCTGCCTGGCCAGACCTGTAGGGTGGGGGGCTGTGGGAGGTGGGAGACCCGCAGTCGTAGGCAGGGACAGGTTATGTAGGGTCTTGGGCTAACTAAGGAATCTGGCCTTGACCTTGCAGGTTATGAGGGAAAAATCTAGGTTTTCCTGAGATTCCCCGTGCCCCTTCCGTTGTATGTGTCACCCATCTTCAGCTCGGCATAGCCTTATGACATAAATAACCACTATATCTCAGCTTCCCTATGCAGACATTTCTGAGCAGCTATTTCCTGGTGCTGTCCGGGAAGCTCTCTCTGACCCGAGAGCTGGAAGGCCAGCTTTCTTCTTGGAGCAGGGCCTCCAGACACCGTCTGTCTGTCCCTGAGCCTCGGCTGGCCCACCTCAGGCCCAGATGCGAAGCCCCATCTTACTCTCCGAACCCTAGCCTGGCTTACCTGCGGCTGAGCCAAGAATGGCAGGTTCTTCGTCTCCTTCCTCCTCCCCGTGCCCTGTTGTGAGTGCCAGAGCAGGAAGGGCTTTGGAGATAATGAGCCAAATTTGGAGATAATGAGCTATCTTTCCACTGATAGGCAAACCTCCGCCTGCCTGGGCTGAAGGCCAGCCCACAATTCTAAGATCATGGTGGAGGGGCTGGTACTCTAGGTCAGAGCCGGGCAGGCCTGGCACACAGCTGGGCTGGGTCTCGCTTGCCTTTGAGGGGCTGATGGTGCAGGTGGCAAGGGTGTGGCAGCACAAGCCTCACTGTGTGTGTGTGTGTGTGTGTGTGTGTGTGTGTGTGTCTGCGTACGTGCGCAGTGGAGCAGAAATGCCCCGGGTCACTCTGATAGCATCATAAATCAAGATGCTGGACAAGATCTTAGAGGTCATCTCAGCGGAGCTCCCAGCTGGTGCAGAATTGTCCAGATGGCTGCTTAGGTCTGAATCACGTGTCCCTGAGGCTGCCCATCTTTAGGCGATGGAGTGTGTGCAGGCAGTTTCTACCAGATGCTGTTCATTAGACTCATGCGTCAATATCTGCATTGGACGGCTGGGACCATGGTTGTCATGTGCATACGCATGTACACGCGTGTGCACACACACACACAATCTCCCTAAGGGTCTCTTGGGTCCCTCCAAGCTCACAGGGCTGGAAGGGCATTTCCTTGCCTCCAAGCAGGGCTGAATTCCATCTGTGCCTTTAGACTTTCCAGAAGTGGAAACCCCCCACCCTCCTTGAGCCCAATGGTAAGTGGCCTGGGTGGCCCCAGGGCTTGCTTTGGGTCCTCTGGTCTGGGAAGCCTGAGCATTCCAGTCCAGCCCAGCCAGTGAGTCTGACAGTGAGAACGGGGAGCACAAGTGAAAGTGTCAGCCTCCTGGAGCACGAGTTTCTGCATTCTGCCTCCAAACCAGCTAATTCTGCCCGTGTGTCTCTCCTGGCGGAAGCCAGCACCTAAGAACACTGTGTCTGGTGAGTGGTGGGACCTGCACAGCCTCTTCACACCTCGGTTTCCACCTCTGCTGATTGGTGAGCTCGGCTCCTTGTAAGACCAGGAGCTCCAGGAGGAGAGGAGCTTTGTTTGTTCATGGCAGGTATTTCCAGAACTAGCAACAGAGGCTGGCACGTAGCGGCACTCAGGGAATGGATTTAGCTGGGAGGGCTGCTTCCTGACAGTCTGTAGTTTCATGGGGGCAGTGGAGGGGGGAGGCAGAGTACCAGGCAGAAGGAAGCCATGAAAATCAATGCAAAGGGAGTGTGTGAGGAGGAGCAATCAGGGAGACTTCTAAGAGGAGGTGGTACTTGAGCTGAGCCCAGAAGGATTCCAGCCATCACAGGATGAGAGAGAAGGGGACTTTGGGTGGAGGAGCATTGAAACTGGGACATGCTGGGCCACTAAGACCCAATGCGGCTGGAGTGGGGAAGGGCTGTGGAAAGATGAAGGGAAAAGTGAGTGGGGAGGTTAGGGTACCTGGGTCATGCAGACCTCGAAGGCCACGTAAGAAGGTTCCACTTGGTTCTGTCAGCAGAGGAGAGAGCCTGAAGCTTGGGAGGGGAGAGGGACGTGAGCCCCTCTGTGTTTTCCACTGAGACCCTCAGGCTGCAGTGTGAAGGATGCAATGAGGATGTGGGGGGCTGTGGAGGCAGGAAGAGGCTGTTGTAGAGGCTCAGGTGAGAGAGGAGGAGGGTCTGAACTAGGCAGGGGCAGTGGGAGGGGAGGGGCAGGGCAGGTCCTCCAAGAGACAGTGAAGACATTGAATTGACGGGGCTCAGCAATCTCACCAGCCAACGTGCCTGCGAGATGACAACAGCGTCTGGTGTTTACCCAGGACAGATTGTTCCAATACTCCAGACAATTCCTTCTACTGGGTGTGATCAGGCTCACTGGGGTGAAAGGAAATCCTAGGATCCAAGGGAGTAAAGTGCCTTGATCGTGACCGGATTATATATTCATTCATTATTTCTTGTCTTGTTCTAGTAAAGGCTTTTGGTGGCTTAAAAGAATACATAAAATAACAGGGCACAAAATTGTTTAGAAAAAGAAAAAGGAGAAAGAAAAACAAGGATGGAGAGGCTGAAATTGCATAATATAACAACCTACACTCTTGCTGTAGGTGGGCCACGCATTTGGCTCTGAGCTTCCTAGCAGCTAATATGAAAAGGGAAACTTGATCAGTGACATTAGACAAAAACAAATAAGTGACTTGGGAGAAGCACAGCTACTCTTAGCAATAAAACCCTAGGTGTCTTCATCAGATGACACTGAGTGACATCATGATCAATGTCCTCAACAATGTCCATAAAGTAAATGCAATGATAAATTTTATAATATTCTTTCCTGATATTGGTAAAGTCTTCACACCAAAATGCCAGTCAGTAAAAGCTATTCTTCAAAGGTGTGTTTGATGGTGGTAATGAACCCCCCAGCTCTCTGCTGATCTGGCTTAACTGAAGAATACATTTTAGAATATGTGGGAGAGTTACTGGATATCCTTTAAGCCTTTGTCCATGAATGGTGTGTATCTCAGCTGAGTTTAGGATAACCACTGAGTGATGATGAGTTCAAGATTGTGCTTCTTGGGCGGCCCGTGGCTTAGCGGTTAAGTGCGTGCGCTCTGCTGCTGGCGGCCCGGGTTCGGATCCCGGGCGCGCACCGACGCACTGCTTCTCCGGCCATGCTGAGGCCACGTCCCACATACAGCACCTAGAAGGATGTGCACCTATGACATACAACTATCTACTGGGGCTTTGGGGGGAAAATAAATAAAAAATATATATATAAAAAAAAAAAAAAAAAAAAGATTGTGCTTCTATACGAGAGCCCATTAGCTATTCTCTGGTGCCCTGTTTGATGAAGTGAATGTACCTTAAGGAAATTGTGCTGAAGAAAGGTTAATATCAGCTATGACTTTGAGTTGAGTCACTGAAACTCCATAACGCCACCATCCACCTAGCATATCCACCCTGCCACCCACCCTGTCCACCCCAGCTCATCTCCTCCTCCATCTTGCCCCCTGTCCCACTGCACTGCAGCTGTGCTATCCTTGATGTTCCTTCAAAGTCCAGCACCTGCTCCTGCCTCAGGGCCTTTGTACATGCCATTTCCTCTTCTTGGAATGCTGGTCTCCCAGTTCCTGACCTGGCCAATTCTTTGCCCTCCTCCTTCAGGTTTTAAAGGTCACTTTTCTGATCCTTCCCCCACTAGGTTAGATTCCCCTTTTTCTGCATTCCCTTGGCACCTTGTTCTTTAACTTTTTAACCCTTAGCACAACTGTAATAAAGTGGTTGTCTTCTAAATGTTTACTTAACGTGTGTTGCCCCACTGGCACATCAGCTTTGCTTGTTGCACCCCAACGGCCTCGCCAGGTGCCTGGCACATGGTATGTGCTCAGTAAATGGATCCTTAATGAGTGAGTGAACTGAGTAAATGAGCCCTAGTCGTGAGAGAGGACCGAGATTTTCTTCAGAAAGTGGCTCTTTGAATCCATTTGCACACAGAGAGGAACGGAACAGGAGGCCCTCTAGCAGGACTGCAGTGATCCGGGCAGGAAGAAAATGCCTCTGGTGGGGGGACAGCCAGATAGCCATCCTGGCCAAAATTAAACCTCAATAAGGCACCTTTAGGTGCTTAAGCTCTGAGTGATAATACTGCTCCCTGGCGTCAAGTCTACTTTGTTTCCTTCTGAAGGGTTTGACTTCCAGCCTCACCTCCCTCAGCCCAGAGCTCTTTGCAACAGGCCTTGCTGGTCTTGCCCCCCTGCCACACGTTCCTATCCCTATGGGATATGAGGCTCCCTCCCATGTGGACAGCCCCTGCTGCCGTCCAGGAGTTGAACGGACACCTCTGGGGCTGCCCACTTCTCTGCCAGCAGCCCGGGGCCGGCAGGTCAGCAGTTCTCTCTCCGCAGATGTGTGACCACGATGATGAGTGCCCTCACGCCCAGCACCATCAAGACCTTCTACCTGGCTGGCTGCAAGGTGAGCCAGGGCACGGAGCGGCTGGGGGACCTTCGGCAGCACCCAGGCTCTGGGATTCCACGCACTGGACTCAGATCCCAAAAATCTATCCGAAGGCACCAACTTGAGTGCCAATATTTTATTTTGCCAAGTGAACCATCTTTTTTAAATCAGTTTATTTTTAAAAGGATATTTTAACACCAAAAAGGTATAAAAGCCTTAAAAATTGGGGGAGGTGTGCAGGTGCCTTTCTCATCAAAACAGCAGACAACCTTCCAGGACATTCTTGTTGGAGTGACGTTTGTCCCACCTGGGCCCAGTCACTGTGTCAGTACTGGGAATAGATGAGGAAATCGAACTCGCTCATTATCAGAGCAAAGCTGAGACCCAAGGAGGGGAGAACCTGGCTTCTGAGTGGCAGTGCTGGGTCTGAACCCCAGGCCTCCTGCTTCCAGCCTCGCTCCATGAGGCCACTGTTGACCTGGATGGACACTCGCACTGAAACAGACACGGTTGACCCTAACGTTCGGTTCACGCACAGTCAACATGTCACAGCGCTCTTATAATAGCATCTAACAATGTTCTAAATGCCTATTTTGTCAAGGACAACTTGGCGTCCTCGCCTCCACTCCACTGGTAATTAGAAAGTCCCTTGGTGGGTGGCGTCTTTGCATTCTGGTCAGCATTTCTCAGCCACTCTTTGGCCTGGGGAGGACCGTAGCCCTGAGGACACACAAGGTGTACTAAGACCCTGTCAAGGTCCCTGGCCCTGAGAGACATTTTCCGCTGTCTCTGAACTTTCATTCTTCTTACTTTTAGGGTGTGTGCCCACTATGAGCTTCAGAACTCCACGTGGGGACCACCTTGCGGGACCTTCCGTGATCAATCACTGACTTTAGTCCAGAGATTTCAGCATGCGAGCCCTGTGGTCAGACCACCTGGGTTTGCTCCCCACTCTGACACTTGCTGGTTGTGTGACTGCTGGCAAGAGCAGGACTCTTGGAGCCTCAGTATCTCCATCGGTGAAATAAGGATAATAATGAACCAACCTCACAGGGTTGTGGTGAGGATTGGTTTAAATCAACCTACTGCGGTGCCTTGAGCGTAGCAAACACTCGGAAAGTGTTCTCTGCTGCATGACGTATGTATTTTATGTAGGTTAAAGAAAAGGTTTGAGCTCGTCTGCCCACTGTGCTCCTGAGATGCTTGTAGCATCGTTATAGTCCAGTAGAGGGCGCTGAGAGTGCAGGAATTCCTTTATCAATCGGCTTTTCTTGCCTTCTCAGTACAAGGAGGAGCAGCTCACCACAGCCTGTGAGAAGTGGCTGGAGATGAACTTGGTCCCTGTGGTGGGGATGCAGATCCACCTCCAGAAAATCCCGCAGGAGCTGCTCCACAAAGTGCTGAAGTCCCCCAGGTCAGAGCTGGGTCCCTGGGGAGCTGCCCCTGCGGGGGGCCTGGGGGAGCAGGGCTGGTGCGGGGAGGGAGGTGCTCCAGCGGGGGCCGCACCCACAGCCCCTGTGGACGTGGCCAGGGTCCAGCGCCTCCTCCATCCCAAACTTCCTGCCCTCCTGGACAGCTGGGCCTCGTGGGGGGGCCAAAACATGGGGACTGTGTGTGGGGATGGGGTGGGGGCTCCCTCACACTCTTCATCAGGGTAGAGACCCTCTGGGTGCCCAGTGTCTCATTACCCACCTGGTAATTAATTAAGTAGTGGCCTAAGTAATTAAAAAAATCCTGACAACATTAATACACATTCCTTGTGGAAAATGGAAAGCAGGAAAACAAAAGCTCTCACCCTACATCAGTTTCTATCTCCAGCCCTGACCCCTCTCCTGAACAGCTCTGGACCCAGACACTCGACGGCTGTATGACTTCTCTGACAATTAAGGCCAAAACCCAACTCTTGCCGTCCCTGCCCTGTGCTATACCCTTGGCCCCCAGCGCTCCTTGACCAGCTGCTCACGCTAGCCCCTTGGGAGTCCTTCTGGACGCCACCTCACCCTCGCCCCCTAAGTGCGGTCAGTTCTACTTCCAGACCAAACCCATCTCTCTGGGCCTTTCTGCATGGGCGCCAACCGGAAGCCAAGCCCCCATCGTCTCTCATCGGGACCACTGTAGGGACCTCTAACTCGGGGTCCTGCCCCTGCTCCTGATCCCTTTCCAATCACATCTCCAGCCGAAGGCCTTTGGCTCTTCCGGTGTAGATCCAGCTTCTCGGTCCCACACACCCTGCGGGAGCCCTGGGGCCTTCCTGAGACTCTAGCCTTGCTGAGCTCCCTGCTGCCCACAGGGCCTCCGTGCGGCTCTCCCCCCCACCCCCCGCCTGAAGGGCCTGGCCCCATGGCTCCTTCTCATCCTGTGAGTAATTCAGGAAATGGTCCCCAGTGCTTGGCCTTTTACGTTATTTCCAATTTTTACTGACATAAACAGCACCTTGGTGACATCCTTCAATGTACATATATGTTCATTCAGATTATTTTCCTGCATTAAATTCTTAGAGTGAAATTACTCAGTCAAAAGGACTTTCTGTTTGTTTTTGTTAGTATTTAAAAAATATTTTATTTGAAAATAATTTCAAACTTAAATAAAAATTACAAGAATAGTGCAAAGAATATCTATATACCATTTACTCTGAGTCACCCTATTCAGTTTCTGCCCTTTTGCTTTGTAGTTTGCATCGGCATGTGTATCTACATACACACTTTTTTTCCCTGAACTCTTTGAGGACAAGTTGCACACATCATGTTCCCTTACCCCTAAATGCTTCGGTGTTTATGTCCTAATAAAAAAGTTTTTGTATAGCCACAATGCGGTTGTCAACCTCAGGAAATTTAGCATTGACATTAACCTTAACATTATTATTACTGTCTTTTATATCATCCTTTTGCCTTCAGTGCAGGGTCCAGTTTAGGATCACATATTGCGTTTACTTGTCATATCTCTTTGGGACTCTTTAAAAAGTTCCTGATAACCCACTGCCAAGTTACCAAGATCGTTCTCCCTTTGGGTGAATTTCAAAAGTGAGAACTAAATTCTACTAAAAATTTTAGTGGTAAGTTAGAAAATAAGTGTTTACTCATGCTTATGTGGTGGAAAGCATTCTGATTTCAGAAATTAGATCTGGAGAGATTTATTCCACTGTTGGTTCAAATTTACTAACTAGCTTGCATTGCCCTCACACTTAGTGAGAAATGAGGTTGGTTCAGTGTTCTAGAGTTGAGGGTGACCGTATTATCTAAGAGGACCTCAGGAACCTGGGCCCCAAGACCAGCCCCAGAGCACTGCGTGGGCTCCCAGGGTTATTCTGCCCTGCTCCACGCATGCACTCCCCCGCCCTCCAGCCGAGCAAAGGTTATGCAATCCTTGAAGAAAAGACAAACGTGGCATCCCTTAGACTTTTCATAACACTGTCCCTCCCTTGGAAAGGCTGAGCTGCCCCACCCTGGTAACATTTAACCAAGAAAGGGGAAAAAAATGTCTGACCACAGCCAGAAGGTTAGTGATGGGATAGGCCTTACAAAATGCACACTGGGCAGGAAAAGAGGTCAAGAACGTTATGTGTCAAGCGTCTAGACTCACAAGTTTGGGGAGACATGACTGATGTGGAAACTGGGTCCTGCTCCTCCAGCCCCTCCCCTGGAGCAGTCAGCACAGACAGTCCAGGGCTTTCCTGGCTCAAAGAGGGAAGAGCCCTGCGTGGCCTCGAGAGTGTCATCAGCCCGTGTGCCTGGAGTGACCAGGCCGACAGCTCCTGGACTCGCGTGCTCGTCATCCCAGGTGAACTCTCTTCACCTGGTTAACGTCCAGTGGCAGCTGCTTTAAAGCTGGAGGGAAGTGGGGAAGAGAGGGCACAGGAAGAGGGGGCCTGGGCCACAGCCAGTGCCCGGTGAGATTGTTAGAAATTTACCCAGGCGTGGGTTCCTCATCTTGGTGCGCGTGCCAGCTGGTGAATCTGACACCACGGACCACACCTGATTAAGAATGGACCTTTGGGCCAGTTACCTTTTATCGACCTTTGGGCCAGTTACCTTTTATCGAGCACCTTTGAGTGTGTGCTGTGCTATGTGCACTGTCCCTATCACCCACACAGCCCCATGTAGTAGGCACAATTATTGTCCCTAAGATAAGAGGGATTAATAAAAGGCAGGGCTGGGCTCCAAGGTCCAGGCTCCCATCCTCCACGCTCCACCATCTCCTCATTTGTCGCAGAGGCCAGAGTTCCCAGCAACCAGAACTCAGCGAGGGCGGGGCTGTCCTGGGGCGTCACATGGCCCCAGAGTGGCTGTGTGGAAACGCCAACCACCGAGGTCAGGGATGGGGCGTCCCTCGCCCACTCAGCGTAGACTGTGGCCCCATTTGTGGTCGTGATGTTTGGGTCTCTAAGCCTTGTTGGAACAACATCCATTTCTCAGCAGATGCTTTGGCTTCTGGGCCACTCAGCCTTGCCCTTCCGAAGTCCCTTTGACTTCGTCTTCCTTCGGGCTTTGCTTTCCATCTTGGAAACAATCTGGGGTAAAATACACACAGTTTTCCTGACCTCCTGGGGCTCTGGTTTTAATTTATTTGCCTGGGCCTTTGGTTTTCAGTTAATTTTCTTCTTAGAGGTCAGCACTATGTTACCTGTTCTAACTCTAACATTATGAAAGCTTCATTCCGAGTTCTGTTTTTCTGGAAGCCAAGCTCCCTGTAGACTCAGGAGGATGGAGAACTCAGAAGGCTATCTAGTTCCTATCTTCATGAAAGGCTGCCCTGCAGCCAAGGGGACTGCGTCCCTCTGTGTGTCCACTTCTCCCTGAGTTCCTATCTATGACACAAGGAGTCTTGAGGCTCAGGAATTCCCTAAGAAAAGCCACCCCTGTCCTCCACGGCATGCCTGTCCCACAGCTTTATAGCGTCTGGTACACCATTGGGCATCCCTCTCCAACAGTAGTTCCTGAAGCTAATGCTTCTCTGGATAATACCAATTATTGAGCACTTGTAGTAAACCTGAATTGAGCACTTCAGGTAACCCTGAATGGGTTACCTGGTCTGATTCCTGAAGCAACCCAGTGAGGTGGGTACTGTGACCTGTGTTTTCTCCCATGGAGTGGTGATTACAGGAAATGAAGAGATTGCCCCAAATTCCCCCATGCAGCGTGAGGGTTGGGATTTAAACCCAGGTCTGAGTGGTCTCAAAGCTTGTGGTCATCACCAGCCCACTGGTGTGCTCTGCGTGAGGCCTTCTTTTTCCTTGTTGACGGTCAAGATCGATAAGGATATTGATGTTCATGTTTTTTATTGTGAAAGAAAATTACAAAGGTAGGAGGATAGTACAAAACACAGTTGTACCCACCTCGCAAGATAAACGAGTGGTGACATTGTGCCATAAGTTGAGAAACAAACCGTTACTAATACAGCAGAAGCCACCTGTGTCGCCCTCCTCAGCCCTAAATTTCCTCTTCCTTCCTCTTGGCCTCCCTTCCTAAAGACATCAAACCACTGTTGTGGACTTGTGTGAACCCAATCCATGGGAGTATAAACTTACTACATATATATATGTGCGCCCATAAATAATGCGTAATATTGTTTTGCAAAGGTTTAGACTTCAAATAAATGTTCTTACAGTGATCATAATGTTCTGCAACTTACTTTATTTACCTAACATCATGCGATGCGTTCTCTCCATGTTGATACTTACACATCTAATTAGCATTTTAAATTTAATTGCTGTACAAAGTTCCATTGAATGAATAGACAGCAATTTTTTCATTCCCTTCCTGAAGGCCTTTTGTTTTATTTTGTTTTGCTTCATTTTTTGCTGTGACAATCAATGCTGCAATGGGCATCCTTGTTCATATTTTCTTGTTCACACGGGCACGGCTTTCTATATGGTCTCTATTCAAAAGGGGACCTTTATAATTTATATGCAATTTTCTCAAAAAAAAAATAGAAGACAAACAGTGTCTTGTTAAAAGCTTTTTTTTTTTTCTCTTAAAGAACAAACACCAGTTACATCCCAATGGCTATAGGGATGTAACCCTATAGCTATAGGCCATAGGGATGTAACCAGTAAACACACGTAGAATGTTCGCTATGTTGGAGGGAAGTTTAAGATCTCTGTGAGTTCCATCTTGATCCAGGCCATCAGAGCTTTTAGGTAAATGAAAATATGTTTGAATGTCCTCAGCATGGTTATTTCCTGCAGGAACTTATACCGTAAGGTACTGGCTTAAAGACAGAAGGCTTTATTTCAACAATTACCCTTCATAATAAAAGTAAAACCAGGATCCCGGTTTATGGAGCTCCCAATTACTCCCCCTGGGTTTCTGTTAGCCCCTCTTTGGTCTCAAAGAATCTTCTGGGCTCAGGGACCCCAAGCATGGATTCTGTACCAGAAGTCACGTAGCTCCCCGGCCCAGTGGTGGTTGAAGTCCTGGCAGAGTTCTTTGTGGGGACATCATACCTAATGGCTCTGTGACATCTACCCTCCTGCCTGACCATTACTGTGCAGACAGTGACAAATTTGGTCCCGTCTGGCCAGAGTCAAAGTCCATGCATCTGTAGGTGGCCTAAACAAATAAGGGGAAAGAGACAGTTCTGCTGTGTCCAGAAATAGCGTGAGGTGGGTGGGTGACATTTCCATTGCCCTTTAGAGTCACGATTTAGCCTGGGTGTCACCCACCAGGACCACTTAAGGTGGTGGGTGAAGAGGCTATGATATATCTTGAAGCCGGGGTGCCATCTCCATGGTCAGAGATGGAAAATATCAGCGGGTTTAAGAAACATTGAAATGATTTCTCGGATAATCAAGTCGTCAGAGGCTGTTTGGGAAACATCCTTCCTCTACAGAGCTGATGTATGGAGAGCACCAGCCACTCCTTCTCAGCCCTTGTTTCTTGATGAGAGGCCTCATGCTGCTAGGGGCAAAGGGTGGGCTCTGGAGTCAGGACCCAGCCTGCCACTTAGGAGTCAGAGCTGCCGTTTGCTGAGCACGTTACTATGTGTCAAACACTGTGCTAAGCAGTCTGTATGTGTGTGGTCGGCTCAATAATGGTCCCCCAAAGAGGTCAGCATGCCAACCCCCGGAACCTGTGGATATGTTAGGTTGCTCAGCAAAGGGGACTTAAGGTTGCAGATGGAACTGAGCTTGCTAATTGGATGACCTTGAGATGGGGAGATGATCCTGGATTATCCAGTTGGGCCCAGTGTAATTATAAGGATCCTTAAATGTGGAAGAGGGAGGCAGATGAGTCAAAACCAGAGAGAAATTTGAAGATGCTGTGCTGCTGGCTTGAAGATGGAAGAAGGGGTCACAAGTCAGGGAATTAGATGGCCTCCAGAAGCTGGAAAAGGCAAGGAAATGAATCTCCGTGGAGCCTCCAGGAGAAATGCAGCCCTGTCCACACCTTGATCCTAGCCCAATGAGATCCATTCTGTTCTTCTGACCTCCAGAACTATAAGATAATAAATTTGTGTTGTTTTAATCCACTCAGTTCATGGCAATTTGCTACAGCAGTGATGGGAAACTCCTACCATGTGTCACCTCCCGTAGCCTTCACCAGTGTCCTCTGAGCAGCTATAGTCATCTCGGTTCTATAGACGAGGGAGCTGTGGTTGCAGGGCCGCTAAGCAACCCGCGGAAGTTCCCACAGCCAGTGTGGGGCAGAACTGAGATTCTAAACCGACCCATGCCCGGGTCTGACTCTAGAATCGTGTGACCCTGGATAAGTTATTCATACTTCAGCCCTCTATCAGGGCTGGGACTAGAACGTGAGGATTGAGGCACTCCCCTCGGGTGCAGAATTTAAGGGGGCACCACAAAAGCTCAGTAATCAAGGTAAAGTATATTTTAGTGCAATATTTTAAAATCAAAATGAATGCGAAAAACCATGATGAACAAAATATTAAAATTTTAAGTCAGCTTAGGGTCAGTCTCAATTTCTACGTCTATACAAGTAAGGACTGTATGCCAGCTTTGCAGGATTGTCGTGTGGAATTAAATGAAGGCACATGTGAAACCACCTTGGGAGCATCTTTCTACAGTAAGAGCCCGTTAGATGCCGGCCATTGTTCTGGGGCAGCACAGCGGGTGGTGAAAGCAGGGGCCCCAGCGTCAGGCTGCTGAGGTTCAATCCCAGCCCTGCCATTAACCAGCCAACGACCTTGGGCAAGTCGTTTAACATCTTTGTCTGAGGCCACCTACATTCTCAGGAATGGTGTTGCCTCTCCCAAACCCACTTGTAACTTCATTTTCTTGCAAACGCTGTGGCTGTCTGCTCTGCCTAACATTTCTTCTCAATCTTTTATTTTGGCCAGGTTGTTTACTTTTAGTGAGTTTCATCTTCTGAAAACGATACTTTTGTGGGTCTACTTGCAACTAAACCACAAAATTCAGACAGTTCCGACATATGAAACGGTGCTGGCGTTTTTTATCAGGTAAACACAGTTGACTGATAAAATGTATGTACACTGGTATTTTGCTCATAATATCATGGGAAAAGCATTAGTGATATTATTTTTCATAGCATCAGAGTGCATAGGATGCAGTTTTCTCTATGGGGCCTAAGATTGTGGGATACTTTTGAACCACTGGATTACTTGAAAAAGTGAATAATAGGTAGGTGTTATAATATGAGATAATCGTGTGCTTCTGAGAATTTGTTCTGTGTCCAGTAAAGTACATGATGCAAAATGTACTCCTTTTATTCAGGAAAATTACCATACTACACTGAGCTTAAAAACTTCATATTTAAAATATACCTAGGGGCCGGCCCCATGGCTTAGCGGTTAAGTGCGTGCGCTGCGCTACTGGCGGCCCGGGTTCAGATCCCGGGCTCGTACCGACACACCGCTTGTCAGGCCATGCTGTGGCAGCGTCCCATATAAAGTGGAGGAAGATGGGCACAGATGTTAGCTCAGGGCCAGTCTTCCTCAGCGAAAAAAAAAGAGGAGGATTGGCAAGGATGTTAGCTCAGGGCTGATCTTCCACACACACACACTAAATAAATTAAAAAAAAAAAAAAGTCTCTCTTTAAAAAAAAACAAAACAAACATACCTAAATCAGACTAGGTTATTCTCATTTATATTTCACTAGATAGCATATAAAATTCGGAATTTTCTGGACAAATGAAAAAGCGTTTGAATGTACAGAGGTTTCATAGAATTAATCCAGTGTTTCATACTCTCTAAACTTATAAATTCTAAAAGTTATATATCTCAACATTTACATGAAAAATGACAATTGCAGTATAATAGTGGGCACCATGTAAGTATGCTTACTAAATGCAGTAACTCTGATAAGTACTTTCTACTTGTTATCTCATTAATCTGCATAATACTCAGGGGCTGGTTTTACTATTCCCATTTTACAGATGAGGAAACTGAGGTAGAGATGAAATATCTTGTCAGATATCATACAAGTGATAAGGGATGGAAGCTGACTTGAACCCAGACCTGCCAAATCCCAAGATGCCTTGCTGCCCATTCCTAGAACGGCAGATAGGATCCCTCTCTTGTGCTCGCTCCAGCTGGTTCAGTAGTAGCTTCCTGGGCACAGTGTTCAGAAAGATCTTGAGACTGCCTCTAGGTTCAATGTTGTTGTCGTTAGCCAAGGACTTCTAATATTGCCTTACAGGGCATTTCTTCCCCTCCCTGTGTCCCCTCTGCCTGTGAGTGTTTTCTGTCTGTTCAGTCCAGAGTGCCCCCATTATCAGTGTCTGCTGTGGCAGCGTGGGGGCAGGAGAGCAGGGTGGGGCTAGACGTGAAAGCAGTAGATTATGGGCTCCCGTCTGTGTCTCCTTAGCCGCTATGAAACTTGGTGAATACGCTCACATCATCCAAGCTGGCTGTGGAGTGTGGTGCCCTAGACAGTCCCAGGTGGCCCTCAGAGGATCTGCCCTAGGCAGGAAGTAACTGATAGCAATATCCTCATTGTCAGGTTTATGCTTCTGTCCCCTACATCAGCAGGAATGGGAGCTTTCAAGCACGATAAGGTATGTTCAAGGAAGTCAAGAAGCTCTATTTCTTTTGCACATGCGAGTTTAGCAGATAAACACATCTTCCACATATTCATCAGTGGATTGACCTGTTGAAGCCAAGTTTCATTTGCATTGTTCTGAAGCATTTAATCCTTCTGGAACATCTGTGCGCTGCATTAACTAAAGAGCCCATTTTTTTCTGTCTTGGTATTTGGGGAAAGCAGTATTCAGTGCCAGAATTATATGTACTTTGCTTAGTTTCTATGTAATTTGCTTTGAACCCAAGTGTTTTAAATCCCCCCCCTACTATTTTAATAACCCAAGAGACACTTTTTCCTATGAGTCATGCACACCAGGAAAACTTGCTATTTGGCTCCAGGTTAGCTCTCATACTGGAAACGTCTTAGCACCAGGAGATAGGAAATGAGCTAGAATGTGGCTGATTCACTGGAACTGTGTTTTTAATGTGAAAGAAACAAGTGGGAATGAGAGAGCTAGGATGTGTGGCCTCCTCCACTGGAAGTGGGGTTTCCTTGGCCTTCTTGAGCTGGGGTCTCAAAGGCTTCTCCCATACACGGGTATTTTTCACCATCACAGCTTCTCCATTCCTCTTGAATATACATGGATTCCATTTTGACCCCAAACCTCACCCCTCCACACAGCATTTCCCCAAGTCCCTGATCCTGCACAGTTTTCCTTATTGGAAACCATTTGGGTGTTTCCAAATCGTCTCACTGTCCCAACCTAAGCGATTCCCACAGTATCTCCTAACATGGCCCTGAGTTCAATTGCTGCAGGGCGGGAGTGACCCCTGATGGCCTTCCAGTCTGCCCTGGGTCCCTCCCTCCCTTGCTGCTGCTTCCGTCCCTCCAGCCAGCTTCGTGTCCTCTGGGAGAAAAGATGGGACAGTCTGGACCCCAGATGATCTTAACCCTACAGTCACCCAGACCCACTCCCAACTTTGAGGACCACGTGGCCCGTTTTTAGGATCGTGGGTGGTTCTCCTCCCATCCCAGCTCACTCATCTGCCCCAGAACAGTGGCACCTGTGAGGTGCACCCTTGTCAATGGCCTGCACCTCCCACATGCATGTCCCGGAGCCCCCAGGCTCCTTGGGCTAAGGGTCAGCATTGCTGCTCCTGCTTACTGCCCCCAGCTGCTCTGCCTTCTCTGCTCGGTCAGTCCACGGCAGGGGCCTCCCCTAATGGCCTCTCTGACCACTCCCTTATGTACCCCTTGGTGTATGTGTGTGTCCTGCCTCCCCAGATTCCTCATAAGCGGCTTAAAGGGAGAGTTTACTATCCTTTATCTCACCCCCAGCTTGCCTGGCACTGTGCTCACATATAATAGCTTGTTGAATGATAAAATTCCATCCAACATTTTTAGGTAGCTTCATTCCCCTCGGAGAAATGGGTCTTAATATGCTGATGCAAAATTCAGAGAGCACGAAGTTTGCAGCAACTTGAAGTAAAAGGGATCGCAGACAAATTTCCATTTTTCTTGATGGGTAGTGCCTGATGGTGTACTCGGCTAGCAAGGATTCTAAAGCTTTCTCTAGGCTTGGTGAGAAATAACGTCTCGGTAGTTAGTGATGTCTGCCCTGGACATGGGTGCGGGCAGTGGTGGTGCCCACGCTCTGTGTTTGCCATCCCTTCCTGAGATCCCAGGGCTGACCAGCAGCAGTGCAGGGCCTCAGAGCCGCTGGCCAGCGGGGCTGGTGGTCCAAAGGCTCAGGCTGAGAGAAGGCACCTCTGCTCCCCGTGGTGGTGGAGAGAGCCTGCGGGAAGTCACGGTCAACCTGGGCCAGAACTGGGTCACCAGGGGAGTTGATCTACACAGTTCAGTGAACCAAAAGAACAGCTAATCTGTGGCCACTGACAGGGGCATGCCAGGAGCATTTAAAGGTGGGGCAGAGCAGACCCCCGGGGAGGTAGTAAACGCGCTTGGGAATGAGAAAGGAGGAAGTGGACTATTTGGCCCAACTTTTCAAGTTGCATCTATTGATGAGATAATTTAAACGACAGAGTGATTTACAAGCTATCTTTGGGTGGGGGAGCAGCGGTCAGAGGGGACATTCTGAGGCCATAACAATATGGGAACTTCCAAAATGAGACTGTATTTTCATAATGTGGTGGCAACAGGACAAGCCGCGCGAATGTTAGCTAGCCAGGCCCCGCGACCCACTAGGAATGAGGCTGAGCTGTAGCTGTGGGTGTGGCCTTGGCTAGCCCAACATCTGAAAAGGAGGGTTTAGTGCAGTAATTGAATAAAATGAATGAGATACCCCTTTTCTCATCTGCCTTAGCAAAGTCCAGAAGACAAGCTAGGAGTGAACACGTTTGTATAGTTGACTCTTCCAACTGTACCTGCAAATAAAGACATATGTCCAAGCTTTTCTACTCTCCCGATTTCTTTTATTCATTGATTTTTTTCAATCTTTCATTCATTCAACAAATATTTATTGGACGTGTACTGTGTGCCAGGGACACAGATGGAAAGTTGAAGGGGCAGTTTCTCTACCTAGCCAGATGTTTAGGAATGTCTTCAAGCATTTATTTTCATTGATGTCTAAGTACGTCAATATAGGAAGAGAACACACATGCTCATGTGCACACGCACGCACCCACACACACACACACACACACCCTTGTTTTCCTGGCAATGGTTATTTTAGAAAAACAAATAGCCTGTCCGGAAATAAATTTAACATTTCCTTGTAAGAAAAATAAAGAATGTAAGCAAAGCTGTTGCCTTCATCCGTGGAGGAAAAGTCATCATTTCATTCCACTTAGCAGTCTGAGAAGTCCAGGAAATCTGTAAAAAACTCATCAATTGGAGAAGAGCCAGAGGCAGGCAAATTTTTCACTTTTTTTAAAGTACATTTGTGTGTGTGTGTGTGTGTGTGTGTGTGTGAGAGGAAGATCAGCCCTGAGCTAACATCCGTGCTAATCCTCCTCTTTTTGCTGTGGAAGACCGGCTCTGAGCTAACATCTATTGCCAATCCTCCTCCTTTTCTTTTCCCCAAAGCCCCAGTAGATTGTTGTATGTCATAGGTGCACATCCTTCCAGTTGCTGTATGTGGGACGCAGCCTCAACATGGCCGGAGAAGCGGTGCGTCGGTGCACACCTGGGATCCGAACCCGGGCGGCCAGTAGCGGAGCGCGCGCACTTAACCACTAAGCCATGGGGCCGGCCCTAAAGTACATTTTTAATCAGAGTATAAAATACATACAGAAAAGTGCAGAAACCTTAAGTGAACAGCTCAATGAATTTCCGCAAAGCACATGCACCTGTGTAACCAGCACCCAGACCGAGAAACAGAACTTGACCGGCCCCATAATGTGTCTTAGCTCCAAACTACCTCTCCTACGCAAAGGCAAACAGTACCCTGGCTTATTTGCTATCAGGATGTCTTGGCTGCTTTTGAAATTTATATAAATAGAATCCTATCGTATACAC